ATAATATTTTTTTCTTCTGGAGAAAGGCTTATTTGTTTTATTTCAGCTAGAATAAAAGCAGGTTTGAATATTTTGAAAACCTATTTTAATAGCTCAATATTATTAGCCCCTTTAAGCTATATATATATTGATTGTCCGCAGAAGAAATTACTGTCATACAATGACTCGTTTACTCACTCTATCTAAGTCTCTATATGTCTATATATATATATATATATATATATATATATATATATATATATATATATATATATATATATATATATATAATTTTTGTAAGTGTGTATTGTATTGTATTAAAGAAAAATTTATATGACATGACAACATGTGTGAATAATATAATATGATATGATATAATATAATATAATATAATATAATATAATATAATATAATATAATATAATATAATATAATATGATATGATATGATATGATATGATATGATATGATATGATATGATATAATGTAATACAATTTTAAGTAAATATCATTTAATATAATTAATATATTATAATTTAAATATAATAATATGTAAATTAAATAATAATGTCTAAGTTTAGGTATAATATAATTTAATTAATATAATGTCATTAATATAACTTTAAATAAAATCTAAAATAATATAATTTAATAAAATAAAACATATAAAATAAATAAAATAATCTTTTAAAAAAATAGTATCATAAAAAATAAATATAAAACAATATAGGGCTGCACAGTGGTGCAGTGGGTAGCACGTTCGCCTCACAGCAAGAAGGTCGCTTAGTTGGCAATTTTGTGTGGAGTTTGCATGTTCTCCTCGTGTTGGCGTGGGTTTCCTCTGGGTGCCCTAGTTTCCTCCACAGTCTAAAGACATGTGGTACAGGTTAATTGGGTAAGCTTAATTATCTGTAGTGTATATGTGTGAATGAGTGTGTATGGATGTTTCCCAGTGATGGGTTTCAGCTGGAAGGGCGTCTGCTGCGTAAAACATACACTGCACTGAAAAAAATTAATCAGAGATGATTCCTTGGATTTACTCAATTTTTGTATGTTAAGTGGTTGTAAGCAATTTAATTGTGTTGAATTTAAACAAACAAATTAAGTTGAATATTATTTAATTTAATTTGATTGTTTAAAATCAACACAAATAAATTGTTTGCGACAGTTCTGCATGCAACACTTTTTTCAGTGTAAGTTGGGGGTTAATTCCGCTGTTTGGTTGTGTTAAACATTTTAGCTTGAAAACAATTTGCACTTAGTTTCACACTTATTCGCACTGTTGCACTAAACAAAACAAGTTATTTTCAGTTTGTAACTTTACAAATATTTTCCACAAAAACACAGAGACCATCTTTCACAGACCATCAAATGCATCGCCAGAGGCTAAAAGAACATAAAAAGTGTGAAATTGAAAGTAAACCGTTTTCGAGCCGCTCTCTTTTTAAGGAGTTTATTTATTATTATTTATTTATTTTATGTTATTTTATTTATTGTATTTTTTTTTTCATTTGATTATTTATTTATTTAATTTTATTTTATTTAAGTTCATTTAACTCATTTTACATAATTTATTATTTTATTTTAATTTATTTTCATTCATTCATTTTCCTACGGCTTAGTCCCTTTATTAAACTGAGGTCGCCACAGCAGAATGAACCGCCAACTTATCCAGCATTTGTTATACACTGCTGATGCCTTTTCAGCTGCAACCTAGTACTAGAAAACACCTATACACTACCAAATCTACACACACACCCATTTGTCTTTAATTTAATTAAATTTTATTTTATTTATTTTATTTTATTTTATTTTATTTATTTATTTATTTATTTATTTATTTATTTATTTATTTATTTATTTATTTTATTTTATTTTATTTTATTTTATTTTATTTTATTTTATTTTATTTTATTTTATTTTATGTAATTTGAGCATGAAGTTTTTTTAACAATTCAGACTTTTGCACAACCATTAGTTTAATAACCCATGACTGTACAAATATAATAAATGGGTTATAGTGTATAGTATCATGTTTTATTCTCTATAATAACGCTTTAAGTGTTCTGGAGAATTGTCTTATCTTTTTATTGTTATACTTTTATGTCGGTTTGTTTACAATATGATGAGCTGGTTGTTGAATTTCCAATGAAATGAGACTTTGAGCAACACTTTCTGTCATAATAGATCATAATACATGCATTTGAACTATTATTTTCAAAGTAAAGTTAGTTAAGTATAAACTTAGAGCCATACAAAAAAAAATCTTAATTCTTTTTCTGGTTATTTTAAATAAACTACCTTGTTGGCTGCATTAAAAATGACAACAGTTTTAAATGAAAATCTTTTTAAAAAATGTATTAAAACTTGAGAGTTTTTGCTTTTAATAATGGGGTAATGAAAATAATATTAGTTCTTAAATTAAATTACATTTATTTATTTATTTTTTCATTTATGCATGTCATTTTAGGAGCTCTGTTTCACATTTTAGGGTGTTTTTGAAAAAAAAAACAGTCACATTTGAAAGCTCATTCTGACCTGTGCTTATGAAACATATAAAATAATATGTGATAATTTGCACTTAAAAAAATTATAGATTGTTTTAAGATAACTATTGGTAATTAAAAAATACATATATATATTATTTTGATTGGGTTTGACTGTTTTTTTTATTTGACCCTTAGACATACATTTATAAATAATAAAAATAAGTAAATAATGAATGTAATTATTTAACACTTATTCATATTAAAGCACATAATATTAAAATTTATTAAAAATAAATTAATAAGGGGCTACTTGGCAATAGTAATTTTCAATGAAAATTTTATAACAATTTTCAAGCTAAATAACACATTTCTTCCTAACCTCGCAAGCAGTATTTATGTTTTTGTATCTGCATATAAAACTTACAGCATTAATCATTTCATGGCATGTTTTTATTTGGATTATTTTATTTGCATAAACTATTTAAAAATAGTCAAAAATGAAACTTAGTTCTTCTAACATCAGTACTGAAACTGAAATACAGCTCAAACTTTTTCCGTATGGTTTTGAATTTTTATTATTCGACCGTTATACAGTACGTCTCTGAAACATAACAGGAAAGTGTGGTCATGCATCACTGAATGACCGTATGTGGATTTTGTTGTAGCTGTTTTTAAATATTTAAGACAACCATCCAAACTTTTAAAAAAGTTTAATTTAATTTAATTTAATTTAATTTTTACGTCTTTATAGTTTAAAAAATAAATAAGCATTTTTTTTATTCTTAATTTAGTTAAATCTTTATAAATAAATAGTTTATTTTATCTTATGTTTACGTCTTTATAGTTGGATATAATGATTACATTTTTCATTTAATTTAATTTTAAATATATTTTTTAATTATCTTTTAGTAATTTGTAAATTAAATAAAATTGTATTTCATTTTATTTGTACGTGTTTATATAGCTGTATATATTAATAAAACATTTAATTTAGCTTAAAATTTTTCAGATTTTTAAAATTAAGTTATTAATCAATTTAATTTAATTTAAATATTTTATTTTATTTTTATGTCTTCATAGCTGTATATAATAATATTTATTATTATTATTAATTTAATTTAATTTTAATTACTTATTATATTTTAATGTCTTTAGCTGTATATAATAATCAAACATGTTTTATTTGAAAAAATTATCATTTATTTTTACATTTTTAAATAAAAATTTTTATTTTATCTTTACGTCTTTGTCGCTGTAAATAATTAATAAACATTTTTTATTTTGAATTAAATTTAAGTGATTAAATGTTATTTAATTTTAAGTCTTTATAGCTTTATATAAAATTATTATTGTTGTTTTTTTTATTCATTCATTAATTTTGATTTTTGGCTTAGTCTCTTTATTAATCTGGGGTCGCCACAGTGGAATGAACTGCCAACTTATCCAGCATATGCTTTACGCAGCGGATGTCCTATCAGCTGCAACCCATCACGGAAAACATCCATACACACTTATTCCCACCCTTACACTACAGACAACCCAAACCTACCCAACCCTTAAGCCTACCCAATTCACCTGTACCACATGTGTTTGGACTGTAGGGAGCACCCAGAGAAAACGCACACAAACTCGGGAAGAACATGCAAACTCCACACAGAAACACCAACTGATCCACCCGAGGCTTGAACCAACGACCTTCTTCACCATGACACCTATTTTTTTTAGTTAATTTGTATTTTTTTTTATTTGTTATGTCTTTATAGCTGTATTTAATAATTAAACATTTTTAATTTAAAAGTTCTGTCTTTATAGCTATATATACTAATTAAACATTAGTTTTGTCATTGAATGTTTTTACTTTGATATTTGCATTTAAAACATATCCAAGAGTCAGTACTGAAACTGAAATACAGCATGAGCTCTTTCCGTATGTTTTTTCTCTGACCGTTACACGTCTCAGAAAGGAAACAGGAAAGAGTATTGAAGCATCGCTCGTCTCTGAACAACATCAGCAGCTCAATAATCTGATTTAATCCTGAATCCTCTGCTTCATACACACACACACACAGCAGATTAGCAGACGCTTCTTTACATGTTAGTGAAAGCTTTAGCATTAGCTGTTTGTTTTGCTGTTACCGGGTGAAAGTGATGCTGAAAGTGAGTTTTTCCACCGCGTGTGGTTTTGTGTTTCCTCAGGAGAGCAGAATGGACCGTTTGCAAAGCCTTGAGTGAAGATGACCTTAAAAGCTACCAAAAGTGAGTATTTATAATTATATGCGCATATATTTTACAGACAGACATGGAGAAAACTGATAAGACAAAACTACAGTGCTCTGAAATAGCTTGAAATGGCTGTTTTTAATTTATTTTTATTTTTATATCAGATTAAGTGATTTTAAGACATTTTTATATGCAACTAGCCTTAAATCAAAGCAAAAAAAACTCAAAATGAAGTTGAAACTGCTGTGTTTTCCATGCAGAGCAGATTTTAATGATGGATTTTAAGTGAACAATTATGGTTATTAATTTTAACCTGTTTTATAATTTGCCTTATAATAATAATTAAATAATGCATTAATAGTTAAATGATTAAATGAATTCCTGCTCTATAAAAACATTATTTTACCTTATTTTTCCTTGGGCAGCATACATATTTTGATGTTATATTACTATAGTATTACACTAAAACGTTTAATATTAAAATACACTTTTCATATTTTACAGAATGAAAGCAGACAGAACTAGAGTGCGCTGAAACTACTTAAAATAACTGCTGCGTTTTTTTTTTATATTCAAAGTACATTTTATATCAAATTAAGTGATTTTAAGTGATTTTAATTTTCAATTTGCCTTAAAACAACGCAAAAAAAAAATAAATAAAATAATAATATAAAAAAAACAAGCCAAGAAAACCTGAGAAATTAAGTGTTCATTTTTCTTAAAGTTGAATCTGCTGTGTTTTTCATGCAGAGCAGATTTTAATGATGGATTTTAAGTGAACATTTATGGTTATTAATATAAACCATAAAACCTGTTTTATAATTTGCCTTATAATAATTAAATAATGCATTAATAGTTAAATAATTAAATGAATTCCCGCTCTATAAAAACAGTATTTCACCTTTGAGTGGAGGCAATCTTATTTTTCCTTGGGCAGCATACATATTGTAATTGTTATATTACTATAGCATTACACTAAAACGTTTAATATTAAAATAAACTTTTCGTATTTTACAGAATGAAAACAGAACTAGAGTATGCTGAAATCACTTGAAATAACTACTGCGTTTTTTTATTCAAATTAGATTTTATATCAGATTAAGTCATTTTAAGTCATTTTTACATTCAATTTGCCTTAAAACAAAGCAAAAAACTAAACTAAACTAAACTAAACAAACAACCCAGAAAAAATAAGCGTTTTTTTTTTTCAGAGCAGATTTTTATGTTGGATTTAAAGTGAACAATTATGGTTATTAATTTAAGCTTGTTTTATAATTTGCTATTTTACTTTATTTTAGCCATTTAATCCAGCCATTTTATAGTAATTTTATGTTGAACTAAATGAATTAAATCAATTTCTGCTCCATAAAAATCATTATATTATCTTTAAGTGGAGTCAATTTTAATTTTCTTCAGGCAACACACCTATTTAGATTGGTAAAATACTGTAATAATACACTAAAAGTTTATTATCAAATTACACTTTTCAGTTCTTTCACTTTTTTACAGAACGAAGAAACACAGGACTACAATGTGCTGAAATTACTTGAAATAACTGCTGCGTTTTTCATTCAGTGTACATTTTTACATCAGATTAAGGGATTTTAAGTAATTTTGATTTTCAATTTGCCCTAAAACAAAGCAAAAAAAAAAAAAAAAAAAAAACAACCCGAAAAAAATGAAGTGTTAGTTTTTCTTAAAGTTAAAACTTCTGTGTTTTTCTTTCAGAGCAGATGTTAATGTTGTATTTAAAGTCAATAATTATGGTTATTAATTTTAACCTGTTTTATAATTTGCTTAATGTTTTTTTACTTTATTCCATCTATTTGTTTTCTGCCATTTTATGTTGAACTTAAATAATTAAATGCAGTCCTGCTCTATAAAAACAGTATTTCACCTTTGAGTGAAAGTGATTTAAAGTATTCCTTGGGCAGATAAAATGTTTTAATTGTTATATTAATATAGTATTACACTGAAAAGTTTAATATTAAAATACACTTTTCAGTTCTTTCACTTGTTATTATACACAAACATATTTTACTGACAGACGTGGACAAAAATATTAATACCATCCTATCGAAGAAAGACAGAACTAAAGACAAAACAGCAGAAATAACTGGTGTGCTTTTCATTTAAAGTACATTTTATATCAGATTAAGTGATTTTAAGTCATTTATATATATTTAATTAACCTTAAAAACAAAAAGCAAAATGAACAATCTACGAAAAATGTAAGTGTTTTTCTCAATGTTTCTCAAACTGCAGTGTTTTTCATTCAGAGCAGATTTTTATATTGGATTTTAAGTGAACAGTTAAGTTTATTGATTGATATTGATTGATTTTTGTCCCTAAAATGGGTTTAAAAAAATTTAAAACTGCTTTTATTTTAGTTGAAATAAAACTAATAAGATCTTCTCCAGAAGAAAAAATATTATGAGACATACCGTGAAAATCTCCTTGCTCTGTTAAACATCATTTGGAATTATCATCATGACACTTTATTTCTGCATTAGGATAACGTGTTTTTAATCTCACACTTGAATTGACCAAAGCATCAACAGCTTTCACACTCATCGATCATAACCTAATTTAGCACCACAAAATTTAAAAGATTCATGTTAGTCAGGAAGCCACACAGGGTGTAAATGATGTCTTATTTCCACTGAGAGATAAGATTCATGTTGTCAAAACACTGAACACAACAAGTATTTAAAGTTCCTGTGAACTGCTTTAAAATGTGCTTTTTTTATTTCATGTTTGACGTAATCTCAACTGAAACATGAAAGGTGGGACATCTATATCTGCATGTCTATACATAGCCTCAAAGTATAACACCATCGTGTTTTAGTAGATGTCAATGCTTGCACATGATAGTTAAACAGCGTGTCATCAGCTCTGCGCTGGACTTCAGACCTGCTTTCAGCTGGTCAATAGCAACACACCAACAGGCTTTAACACACCTCCTTTTCAGACCAGCACACCCATGAGTCCACAAAGTGGTGCAAATATATTTACTATTTAAACAACGTGGCGCAAAATGTGAAAATTACTGTTGCACTGGTCTAAAAATAGCAGCAGATCGCACCAAGCACATCTTGCGGCTTCTTTTGCTGGGTGTATGATAGTGCCCATAGTGTCTAAATGAGCTTTAGTTGGTGTACTGTATGAAGTAAGTTCAGTGCACTGTATATCATTCACAGTCTCCGAAAACACTGTAATCACGAGGCGCTGGTGTCTACAATTCTCCATTTAGTCATTTAGAGAACTATACAGTACAACTCAGTCTGTGCAGTTTCACAATCCATGTTCTCCCCCATGCACTAAACCATACAGCATTCTCTCCATCAATAAGAAATAAGTAAATGGCCAACTGGTGAATAACTGATGGCTTTATATTCTCGCCATGGTCATTTGGGTTGTTTACCACTAAGTTTACCACTGAGCAGACGTGTGTATTTAATATTTTTGTCTGTGTTTTGTTTCCAGCATGGTTTTTACGACTCCTCCCGGTTGTGCTCTTCTTCATCTGTTATTATTGCTCTCAGTTCTACTTTGAGAGGTCAGTACACGCATGCTTTCATCCATGATGTTTTCATTGGTCGTATTTAGGGCTGGGCAATATGGAGTTAAAACTGTTAAACAATATTTTCTGTTATTTATTGTTTTAGTGATAATTCCGACTCATCCACTGAGAGACAAAAAATTATATATAAAAAAAGTATTTAAAAAACTAAATATACAGATATTATTTATTTATTTATTTATTTATTTATTAATAATAATTTATTTATTTTTACTTCATATGTATCCATGGATAAACAAAAAGGTATATTTTTCCAATTTTTTGTTTATTATTATTATTATTATTATTATTATTATTATTATTATTATTATTATTAGTAGTAGTAGTAGTAGTAGTATTGTTATTATTATTATTTGTGTTATTATTATTATTTATTTTTAGTTCATATTATCAGAGACAAAAAGTAGATTTTTCCTATTTTATTTATTGTTATTATTATTATAATATATATTTTTTTATTTATATGTATTTTTTGAGGGACAAAAAGGTACATATTTTCAATTTTTTTGTTTATTATTATTATTATTATTATTATTATTATTATTATTATTATTATCATCTGTAGTAGTAGTAGTATTATTCTTATTCTTATTATTTATTATTATTATTATTATTATTATTATTATTATTATTATCATCTGTAGTAGTAGTAGTATTATTCTTATTCTTATTATTTATTATTATTATTATTTTTTGTTCATATAATCAGAGACAAAAAGCAGATTTTTCCTATTTTTATTTATTATTATTATTATTATTATTACTATTATTTTTTATTTTGATATTTATTTTAAATTTATATGTATTCATTGAGGGCCAAAAAATTATATTTTTTCCATTTTTATTTCTACTTATTAATTAATTAATTTTTAATTAATATGTTTCTACTGGGAGAAAAAAAGTATATTGTTCCTATTTCTTATTTATTTCTTATTATTTTTTAATTCATATGTATGCACTGAGAGAAAAAAAAAGAATATATTTCCAATTCCAGTTTACAATTTAATATGTTATACTATATTATAAATCTATATTTTAAATATTACATAGTATCTTTATATTAATCCCATTGTAGTTTTTTATGATTATTATTGCAAGAAGACAAAATTTTCCCACGGCTACATTTTTTATTGATATATTGCAAATCATCCATCTCTATTTGTATTTTATGCAGAAGCTGAAATGTGTGTATGCATGCTTTATAAACTACTGTTTTTACCCTAGCTCTGGAGGAAAGTCTCCTCATCCCACGCTTGCTCTGTGTCCAAACTACCGGCTGCAGAAGAAGTGGGAGAATCTGAACCTAAAGTAAGTTTAATTCTGCTTTAGTAAGCTTGAATAGTGAAAAGTTCCATCTTCATCAACTCATTGCCTTCATGATTACAGAGCTGTAGGACTTCATTTATTAGAAGAACATACATGAAAATTACAATGTGTTTTTGTTTACATACAGTGGAAATCAGTTGCAACCAAAATATTTTGGTAAATTAAGTTAGAACATAATTATCATAGTTTAATAAGTTACAATTACAGAAATATACATTACAACTAAAGACATATGTTGTAAAGACTAATTGATTTACTGTGTATTTATAGATATATGCAAACATTTTTGCAGCCACAGCAGTGTTATAAATACATAAATAACTGGGCATTATGGTGGTGCAGTGGGTAGCATGATTACCTCACAGCAAGAAGCTCCCTGGTTCGAGCCTCGGCTGGGTAAGTTGGCATTTCTGTGTGGAGTTTGCATGTTCTCCCTGCGTTCGCGTGGGTTTCCTCCGGGTGCTCTGGTTTCCCCCACAGTCCAAACACATGCGCTATTGGTGAATTGAGTAAGCTATATTGGCTGTAGTGTATGAGTGTGAATGCAAGAGTGTGTGGGTGTTTCCCAGTGTTGGGTTGCAGCTGGTAGGGCATCCGTTGCGTAAAACATGCTGGATAAGTTGCCGGTTCATTCCGCTGTGGCGACCCCTGATTATTAAAGGGACTAAGCCGAAAAGGAAATGAATGAATAAATAAATAAAAGTAACTTCATTAAATGTGAGATCAAGGTCGTATTGTGCAATTCGAAAGCATAAATAAATGGAAAGCAACCATGAATCACAAATTCTAGGGAGCTGGTGTTTAACAAATAAGTATAACAGTGCCATTAATAATTTACTAAATGACTAACGGCCACAAACTGTAAAGACGTCCCTACTTTTCACAGTTTCAGAGCATTTGAAAAGAATAAATGATTTACCTGCCACCACTTTTGTCTTTCCTCTGTTTTATCATCTGTGTGTTGTTATAGAGTTTATACAGCTGCTCTCTCTCCATCTGCAGTTCCACCTATTGCATTTACTTGTTCATTTATTGGTCCATTAGGACTCCTGGCAGATCTTATGCAGACCTTTAAAAGAGAAAGATATTTATTGATCGCCATGAGACAGATCTATCCACATAAATATAATAATTGAGTCAAAAATATTTCTTTTAGCTTGGCTGGAATGAAAGTAGTTATAATAAATGATATAATGTTTAGCTGAATAATATTATCCTATTAAGACCTTTTTTTAAAACCACTCTTGTCCAATGACTTGCCTATTTAACCATTCATACATTCATTTTCTTGTCGGCCTAGTCCCTTTATTAATCCGGGGTCGGAATGAACCGGCAACTTATCCAGCTAGTTTTTACGCAGCGGATACCCTTCCAGCCGCAACCCATCTCTGGGAAACATCCACACACACACTCATACACTACGGACAATTTAGCCTACCCAATTCACCTGTACCGCATGTCTTTGGACTGTGGGGGAAACCGGAGCACCCGGAGGAAACCCATGCGAAGGCAGGGAGAACATGCAAACTCCACACAGAAACGCCAACTGAGCCGAGGTTCGAACCAGCGACCCAGTGACCTTCTTGCTGTGAGGCGACAGCACTGCCAAACTGCCTCGCCCTATTTAACCAACCCAGGCTCATTCTGGAAACGTAGTCCCGCGGACGTTTCTGGAGATCGCGAAATACGTTGTTTGCGCACTTTTTTTGCATCTTGAACGCCTCTCGCGAGCGCCGTTTGCACCCGCGATGTTCTCGCGAAAAGCCGCCGGAGGCCGCTGTCGAGCGACCGTCTGTCCGACTGACTGAATGATTGACTGGGCGGCCGGCCAATCGGCCGATCCACCGTCCTCCTCCTTCCCTAAACCCAACCGGTTTTACCGATTGACCCCTCCGCCCGCCCGCTCTCTTCCCTAAACCCGAGCAACAATTTACAAAAGACGTCCAGAAAAAGAAAAGCCCTCGTCTGATTTTGACCGCATTTTTGGATTTCATCACATTCTCGCCCTGTTGTTGACTTGTTCACTTTATTTTTTGGATTCTGTTTTTGTCTAACCTGATTACTTAAACCCGTCGTCGCCGTCGTCGCGGTCAGCTCCCCTCCGGGTCTCTGCTCTGCCAATGTACACAACAAGCTAACCGGACAAACTGGTTGCCGTGGAAGGCCCTCCACAAGGAGGTGAGCTGTCAGCCGGCGAGTGCGAAGAGTAGCGGCGTCACACCGGCCCGTAGCATTCCTTCGAAAAAATTAAATGCACCCACATGTACCTCCGGCCACGTAAATCACAGTCTCCAGAAACGTCCGCGGGACTACGTTTTCAGAATGAGCTTGGGTTGTATTTAACATAATTAAGCCTTTAAATTATACTTTAAGCTGAATATTAGTATCTTGCTAAATAACTAGTAAAATATTAAATACTGTCATCATGAAAAACAAAAAAATAACCTTGTTGTTAAAACTATTGTGTTTAAAAATGTCTTTAAAATCTTCTCTCCATTAAACATCACTTGGGAAATAATTGAAAGTGAAATAAAATGTCACAGCAGAGCTGACAATTTTGACTTTAAATACACACACACACACACATAGGGCTTTATATTAACACCCGCCAACTCGCCAAATGCGGGTAGATTTCAGCTGTGGCGGGTAAGACGAACGCTCTCACTAGCCACTTTGGCTGGTTGAAAATCATTCTTAAATTGTAGTTTTATTTAAAACTTGACTATAAAAGTGGCCCAACATTCGTCAAATAGTATCTTAGAATTGAGAGGCAGCATTGCTTTGCTAAATTAATTGTGTTCGACAAGCAAAAGAAAGCATGTGAATACCTAATGAGAGTATGATCAGTCACGTACACAGAAGATTTGATACACGCGACAATTAAAAGGCTTGCATGCTCACGTTTACTGGAGTGAAGCAACCGTGCCCATAGAGGAAACGCAACTGGTGCGATTGGTTTTCTTTGAAACAGAATAGACAAAAAGTGATGATCGTGCACCCACTGTCCTTCTGCTTTCAAAAAATTATATATATATATATATATAGTTGAAGTCAGAATTATTGGCCCCCCCTGTTTATTTTTTCCCCAATTTCTTCTTGACGGAGAGCAGATTTTTTTTCAGCGCATTTGTAATCATAATAGTGTTAATAACTCATCTCTAATAACTGATTTATTTTCTCTTTGCTCTGATGACAGTAAATAATATTAGACTAGATATTCTTCAAGACTTTCCCAGAGATGGGTTGCGGCTGGAAGGGCATCTGCTGCGTAAAAACTTGCTGGATAAGTTGGCGGTTCACTCCGCTGTGGCGACCCCGGATTAATAAAGGGACTAAGCCAACAAGAAAATGAATGAATGAAGAATTTTTCAAGACACTTCTATACAGATTAAAGTGACATTTAAAGGCGTAACTAGGTTAATTAGGTGAACTAGGCAAGTCAGAGTAATTAGACAATTTATTGTGTAATGCTGGTTTGTTCTGTAGACTATCAAATAGATATATAGCTTAAAGAGACTAATAAGTTTGACCATAAAATGTGTTTTAAAAAATTAATAACTTCTTTTATTCCAGCCGAAATTTTTACAACAGCATTGCTTTTATATGAGGTTAACGCTCAATTTATGTGTAGTTAACTGGTGATGTTAACTTGTCGTGTCTCTGCATATTTTAGATACTTTACAATTATTCTTTTTTTAAATGTCAATTTTTTCAAAGAAAAGATTTGTTGAATTAAAAAGTGTACGTATACAGCTTCTGTTGAATTAAAAAGTGTATGTATACAGCTTCTGTTGAATTAAAAAGTGTACGTATACAGCTTCTGTTGAATTAAAAAGTGTATGTATACAGCTATTTTTAGCTTGTTTTGACACATTATTTAAAATTTGTGGCTAAGAAATAATCATTTATTTATTTTTGCTGTGGTCTGAGATAAATCTGCTAAATCTTTAACTTTTGAAAAGTCATGTGAAATAAACTAATTGCAATGCGAAAGCCCATTTGCTCATGCACATTGAGCAAGCTCATACGCAGCAATAAGCGAAATGAACGAGGAGGCATGTGGACATAACACAAAATCTAAGTTAAGTCATTTTAGCGTTTTATATATAAATATATATTCTCCCAACAACAAAAGTTTGGCTAGTGAAAATAGCGAGTGGCTATTAAGGTTGGAAATCTACTAGCCACAGTGGCTGGTGATTAAAATAGTTAATGTCAAGCCCTGCATACTCACAAGATTTCATTTCATAATGTTCATAAAACACGTAGACGTTTGCTTAAAGCTGAAAAGATATCATATTAAGTAAGTCATACTGTTTTCAATGCACTTGTAATATATGATATGTCCAGTGTTTGCAGCATTCCAGCAGCTCATCTCTCTGGTAGAGTGTCAGTTTAATTCCTGAGAACTTCAACACTGGTTTTTTCCAGTGCCTTCTGGCTTTCCTTTGAATTTTGTGAAGAAACATGATAGCATGACGTTGCAGTAAAATAGGCCTAGTTGTATTGGTTTTTTTTTTTGTCATCTTATGATGGCTCTATTCTTTGGTTCATAGAGTGTCATGGTGACTTTTGTAAATATTTTGTATTGTTTAAAGGTATTGTTATGACCAATTCAACACAAAAGGAATGGTTTAGATATACCAACCTCCCAAATGTTGTAATAAAAGTGTTACAAGCACCTTTCTCTATTAGACAGCCTTTGGAATATATTAAAAATAATAATATATTGTTATATTATATTATTAATACAATTGATGGAATTGTGAATGTTGAAAAGTACATATAGGTTTTAATCCATTATGCCATTATTTCTTGAGTAGACTTCAGTGATAATAGTTTTTATTTTCAGCATGATAATGATCTGCTAATTGCAGTGAAATCCTGTTTGGAGAAAGAAAACAGCTGATGAAACACAGACAGGCATGGAATGGCCTCCACAATGTCCAGATCACAATATTATAGAGACAGAAATAAAAAGATATGACACTCTAAACCTAAAGAAGATCTCTGGAAACGGTTAGACAGTATATACTGAGAGTGATTATTAGTGTTTAGTCTCTGCTTTTGTTTGGTCATTCCAGCACGAGCCGAAAGCATTAGCTTCAAGAAGTTTCAATTTTCAGCATGATAATTATCCGCTAATTGCAATAAAATCCTATTTGGAGAAAGAAAACAGCTGATGAAACACAAACAGGCATGGAATGGCCTCCACAGTGTCCAGATCCCAATATTATAGAGACAGAAAAAGAAAGATATGACACTCTAAACCTAAAGAAGATCTCAGTAAAGGGCTAAGAGAATCCTGATATTACACAGCGCATTATTTCAGACAATTAAAAACAAAACAGTTAGACTTTATCTTTCTGTTTGTCTTTAATAAAGAGACTGATTGGTTATATGTTGTCCAAAAGTCTTAGGCCAACAAAGCTGGCATAGTGCTGTGGACCTTTGCACTGTATATTTATATATAGTGCACAGTATATACTGATTATTACGGGATCATTCGTGTTTGTATTGTGAGCCTCTGCTTTTGTTTGGTCGTTCCAGCATGAGCCGAAAGCCTGATCTCTTCCTGAAGCTGGAGGATTTCTTCTGGAAGGATCATCTGTCGGCTGAAGCTCTGCCCTACGGTATTAAAGGCAGCGGTGTGTACAGCTCCTGTTGCTCTTATAACCCTCCATTAATACAATGCTCAGTCATTACGCTTGTGTTTAATCTGCCTTGAGCACTTGATCACATTGTTGCTGTGACCTCACGTGACCCCGAAACCTCTCAGTCAAGCCAATATAAAGGCACTTGTGTGTTGTTTATGCTTTCACTGCAGAAAAGCCTGAGGGATTTACTGCGCATGAGTTTTAATGCAATGCTTTGATGCTGATGCATTCATAATGGAGCATTTTGTTTTAAAATGGTCTTGTTTTATTGTAGAGCTGCTGCTTCTGAAGGTTTTGGCGGCGATTTCCAGCTTCACGATGCCAGCGAACATCGAGAGGTAAAGTAGTGTCTAAAGTGTCTAAACTCAAGTGTGATACACTCATTTTCAGTTCCCCCGGTTGTCTGTGAGGTCTTAATATGTCTTAAATTTTAAAAATTGCATTGAAAAGAAGCTTAAAAACAGCCTTAAAAGTGCTGAAATGTAGTGTTGTAAGTCTTAAATTACTTTAAACAGGTCTCAATCTTTCTTAAGCTACTCTTTTCTTTCTCACTTGTATACTATTCACAATAGTATTGTTTCAAAAATTGCACATTATCGGATCACAATAAAAAAGTGAAGGTTATTAGTTACCATAACTTTATTAGTTCATAATGACTTTAACTGTGAAAAGCTATTGGTAATTAGTTACTAGTTAATTAAAGTTATTATATATAAGCATAGTTAACCTGAAGTTATAGAGTATATAGTTGATGTCTATGTGTACATGATTAATTTAGTGTATTTGTGTATTAAATGTACACTACCTGACTAAAGTCTTGTCGTCGATCCTAGTTGTAAGAGCAACGAATAATAACTTGACTTCTAGGATGGAGATGAATCATCTGTTGATCTGCATCCTACTGGAACCCACATGGAGCCAAGATTCTCACAGAAATCAGTCAAGTTTGGTGAAGGAAAAATCATGGTTTGGGGTTCCTTTCAGTATGGGGGCGTGCGAGAGATCTGCAGAGCGGATGATCAACATCAACAGCCTGAGGTATCAAGACATTTGTGCTGCCCGTTACATTACAAACCATAGAAGAGGGGGAATTCTCCAGCAGGATAGTGCTCCTTCTCATACTTCAGCCTCCACATCAAAGCTCCTGAAAGCAAAGAAGGTCAAGCTGCTCCAGGATTGGCCAGCCCAGTCACCAGACATGAACATTATTGAGCATGTCTGGGGTAAAATGAAGGAGAAAGCGTTGAATATGAATCCAAAGAATCTTGATGAACTCTGGGATGAACTCTCGCTTTCTTTGGCATTTCAGATGACTTTATTAATAAGTGATAAGTGAAGAGATCAAGTTATTACTTCTTGTTGTTTTTAAAACTTGGATAGGTGACAATACTTCTATCAGGTAGTGTATGTGTTGTGAGCACTTTCCCATAACCTACAGTTACAGTATATGATGTATTGTGTAAATGCTTTACAAAAAATATAGGTCTATAATCTAGTTTTGAACTGAGAGAGTGTGTCTGAGCCTCAGACATTATTAGGAAGGCTATTCCAAGGTTTAGGAGCCATATATGAAAATGCTAGACCTCCTTTAGTGGACTTTGATATTCTGTTTACTACCAGAAGCTACACAATCAGGTCAACACCCATCCAATCACCAACAATCCATCTAAAATAGTTGAATGTGTTTTTAATTGTTACATTTTTGTTAGGTTTCTGATGTAACGTAGCTTCTGCACCACATTTGTTTCTTAGAAATAAAGGTACGTGAGCTGTCACCTGGGGTGGTACACATTTGTACTAAAAGGGTCCACATTGGTACTTTAAAAGCATATATTTCTACCTACAAATTTAAGAGGTACACTTTTGTACTTTTAAGGTACTAATATATACCCTCCAAGTATTAATATGGACCCTTTGGGTACAAATGTGTACCTTTTAAAAAGGTAACACCCCAGTGACAGATGTCATACCTTTATTTCTAAGAGTGTAGCTAAAACCAAACACATAAGTTATTATTTTTAACTTAGAAATGTACTAAAATAATAGTCAAATTGTAAAATATCCTTAACTACATTTAAAAGCAATCTAATAAATAATAAAAATAAAACACATCTAATAGAAAAGGCTTTAAAATTGAAACAACTCATGCTAGACACCTATCTTTTTTAATTTTTATTTTGAAAAAGAAAATCAAACTTCTCTTCTGATGCCCTGTTGTGTATAGTGCAGTATTCCAGCAAAGTGTGTGTTTTGTGTGTGTGTGTGTGCAGTTTGGACTGCAGGACGTGTGCAGTCATTGGAAACGGCTTTGCTTTAAAAAACAGCTCTCTGGGGGAGATCATTAACAAATACGACGTGGTGATCAGGTAAAAAAAAAAACCCACTCCTCCACCTCTGTTTGACCTTTCAGCAGTTCTCCTTCTGCTTTTACTTACCATTCAGGAGTTAAGAACAATTATATTGCATTCTCTGTGTCTAATAAAACTCTCCATTTCTTGTTTTCTCTCTGTTTATAGCCTTCAGAGTTAACTCTTAACCATTATAAGCGTTCATAATGTTTCGTAAAACAAAGGGCTTTTGGGAACATCAAAATCACAGCCTTTTGATTTCCCCATCAAAAAAATCTATTTTATAACTTTCCATTCAGTTCAAGTTTATTTGTATAGTTCCTTTCACGATAATTATTGCTTCAAAGCAGCTTTACATAAAAAGGTGTGTTATTACATTACAATCACACTGCAAAAATGATTTTCTTAGATTTTTGCCTTGTTTCTAGTTTAAATACCTAAAAATCCTTAAATCAAGAAGCATTTTCTACACTAGTAAGCCATATTGCCTTGTTTTAAGAAATAATATGCCAAAATTAACCGTTTTTAAAATAATCTGTCAATGGGGTAAGCAAAATAATCTTATGTCAAAATGAAAAATACTATTGTTTTGCTTACCCCATCAGTTTAAAATCTCTGGGTCATTCTATGCTGTTTAAGCTGCGTTTTCAGAGACCCTCCTCCACCCCAGCTCCACCTGTCTATAGAACTGCCACATGTTTGCAGCAGCAGTGTGTTATTCTCAGATGGCATGCCTGTGTATATACTGGCAGAAGTAGGTCTCTGTACTTGCTCTGCCATAACAATCAAAGCAGCAGCAGCTGCAGCGTAGCAGATCTATTCCACCAAGACCAAATACACCAACCTTGCCATATGCATAGTCATTACCATACTAAATCCAGAGAGTGTTCATGACAGAAATCTGTTAATTTATACTTGTTCTATTTTTTTTTCTCATGTAAAATCATTCTACAGATTTGGATTAGCTGGAAATTAAAGTGTTTAATACATACAATTTATATATATATATATATATATATATATATATATATATATATATATATATATATATAT